TGGCCTAGGGCCGGTCCAAAGGCCTCGGGGGGCTGCATCCGGCCCCCGTGTCTTAGGGTGCCTACCCCTGTTCTAGATGGAAATTTACAGGAGGATGGCCCCACCATCATCCTTATCAATTTTGCTTGTCTCCTACATTTTCCAGTTGCTTCTTTCCAGGTTTTTTTTATCAAAGAAAATCCACTAACAAAGAAAAAAACAACAATCGGTGATGCCAGTGTTTTTCAGTTGTTGAATGGCAGAAGCTCTCTGCCGAGAAACACACTTAAGTTTCCAGTTAATTCTGCAGTTTTTGGAATGGGATATATGATCATAGCCTTTAAAATGAATACTTGGGTGCAGATTGGAAGGACTGTTTGATGGAAGCAGTCAGTCAGTACTTGCTACTTATTCTGTATGATTATGTCCTGAGTGCTATGAATTGACAGTTTTGTATAGAGGGTGGAGGCAGTATTACACATTGACTTCAGGCAGACATGCAATCCCTGTATAGCTTTCTCATTGTGTGACAGCTCAGAAGAGAACACATATCCATATACTGGAGAAGGGCATATGAACTAGCATAACACTCCAAGAGTCCATAATATTAGGAGCATGATTGATATAGTGCTATCCTATACTATACCTTCCATTGGTTCCTTGTATGTCCAGCCTCCCTGAAGTGGCAAGAAAGAATGAACAAGGTTTTGTTAATTTATTTGCAAGTTAAAATACACAAACGTATAACACACCAAACTAAACATACACCCCGAACCCCAAAACCCTAACAACAATACAGTATTTGTATTGTATTTTATATGTACTGTATGTAGGTTGTGCATGTTTGGTATTTAGTTTGCATTGTAGTTGCAACAACCCTATTTCATATGCTTGAAATCCTGGTAGTAAACATCTTAAAATGCAGTACTTGCATATCAATTCTGAGTAACTGGAATGCTGCAAGCAGTAGGTCTTACACCCAAAGGCAGAGAGAGTTTTCCTAATAACTAAGTAACTAAATAATGTTAACAAACACTGTATGATTCACTGTTTATGTATGACTCATTGGCCTTGCTAATTTGTTGCCTGACTTGTTTTTGGTATGTTAGGGTAAAAATGTTATATAATAACTGAGGATGATCATAAACACACACAGTCTTTTGTTTAAGACAGGATCAAGGCACTCACAACTTGCTTTAAAACACTTAATATTTTGAATAAGCCTTACCTGCCTTTCTTCCCTGCTGATTCCATTCTCCAGCAAGCCAGACTGAGCCAAAAAGACAGAATTTTACTCCACTTTTTGTTGGTCTCTACTGCTTTTCTCAGACACGATATTAAACCACACAGCTAGCATTGGCATGTCATAAACAAAACCTGAGACTAAAGGTGTAAGGCCTTACAATATCATAGAGAATGGGATCTTGTGGGTCGAGCAAGTGTAGAGATGGGCTGGAATTCTTGTGGGTCAGCACCTTGTGGAAATAGGCATAGCAGCAAAATCTGGCTGACCAGGTAATATGGCAATTGAGAGCCCAGGTGGGCCAGGGGGACATTAATGGGCAGCCAGACAGGCAGCAAAATGGACCCAGTAGCTGTAGCAATTGCTGATATCCCTGCTGTGGCTTGCATCTCATGGGTCCATATCTTAGAATACACATGACACATGGAAAGGTTTTCCCACTCTGAGCTGCTAAGGTTTGTGAAAGAATCACTGCCAATCCTCTTGAACCTTTCTTTCAGGCCATGCGCTGCTGTATCCTTTGTTGTTCTGTGACTCCAAGTCATTTTCAACTTATGGCAACCTTAAGGTGAACTTTTCTTGGCAGGTTTCTTTAAAGGGAGTTTGCCATTGAAATCCTTGGAGGCTGAGACAGTGTGACTCACCCAAGATCACCCAGTGGGTTTTTATGCTTGTGTGGGGAAATGAACCCTGTTCTCCAGATTCATAATCTAGCCCTCAAACAGTACACTACACCACACTGGCTCTCATTTGTACAATAAGAAAAATCACAAGTTGCAGTTTCATTGTCTGCCTTGCTTCCAATGATGAGCCTCAAATGCAGACACTCACCAACTCTCTCCTTGATCCTCTCCTCACTTCTGGCTTTTTGGTGCACTGATGTTTGCACCCGTACAGCAGTCAAAATGCCCGAGAGCCCTGGTACAAGTGAGAAAGCAGTGGAGAGGGAAACCCTGAGTTGAAAGCCACCTCACATACAAAAGCCAGACTTCCTCCTCTTCCACCAGTGCTCTGAAGAAACACAGTAATTCCCCAAGAATTCAGTTGGCATCCTGAGACCTGGGTACATTAGACTCAACTGCTCACCCAAAACACAGCTTTGAAATCTTTCCCAGATCTTCCATTATCTCTTTTGCCCCCCCTTCCTTCCTTCCTTCCTTCCTTCCTTCCTTCCTTCCTTCCTTCCTTCCTTCCTTCCTTCCTTTTGCCCTGTTAACTGCAAACATACATCCCTCTTCAATGATCCTGGGATTTACAGTTGCATACATTTCTTAGCAGTATCAGTCAGCATTCTTCACTCACTGGTAATATGGCTCTGAATGGCCACAGCTCACAAAACTTTTCCTGCCTCTCTAGGTATGGACAGCTACATCCCTTTCTTTATTTCCACAGAAATTCCTTGGTTTCTATCCTAGATCTAGGATGGCGTGGGTTTCCTTTGGACCTCATTTGCAAAATGTTGACTCAAGCATTCCTAGGGTGGTTTGCATTGAAGACAAGAGTTTGCAGTGCTTAGGGATCATTAATCTCAAGCCTCTTTATTTTCTCTCTGCTGACACCCTTGTTCATTGCAAAGCAGAAATTCAGTGGCCTTCCTTTTAAGTAAACATGCTGATGATCACACTGCACTTTTTATTCTAGTGATAATGCATTCCCATTTCTTGTCAGCTGGGCTTAGATCAGGCTTGTGTTCATATGAGTAGAGGTCAACAATGGCATGTATGATCTGTCATTGAAAAGGTGAAAGGAAATGTCCCTGGTTTAGGCTAGTTCGGGGGGGGGGGGGGGGGGAAACCTAGGGATTCAAGCCATTAATCTGACTTCACGAAATATCTTAAATATCATCTCTGGAAGTTGATTAAATGATAAACTGCCGTCCTGTTTTTGAACTGACACTCTCATTTGTTACCTATAATAGACCCTTGGCAAGTAATATATCAAGATGTAGTAATGGTCTTCTCTCTCCCAGCTGAGAAAAGGCAGAGAGGAAAGTGTCTCTGCATTTGAAAGAATTACCCTCTGTCAGCAGCAGCTGCCACCACCAAGAAACAACATTCCCCAGGGAACAATGGGGGACAAGAAGAAGATTAGGTCAGTTCTGTTCTTTTTGCTTCTTGCCTTTTTATAACTGGGGGATGCATTCTTCTCTGCAGCAGGATGAATGATGCTTAATTTGATATCATTAGGAGATGGGGAGGGCTCAGGATGGAATGGCATAGGATAGTTAATATCTTGTGTGTGAACTTCTTGACTTTTAATTCTTTTTGTAAAGGCTGAAATTGTAGTGCAGTGCAAAGACACTTCTAAATTTTCTGGATGGGGCATCAACTATCATACACACCTGGTACTCTCAGGGCCTTTACAGACTGCCAGAAATAATGCAGCTTGAGGCCACTTGAACTGTCCTGGCTCAGTGCTAGGGAATCATGGGAATTGTATTTTTTTTTTCTGAGACATTGAGCCTTCTCTGTCAGAGAGCTCTGGTGCTATAATAAACTACAGTTCCCATGATTCCATAGCACTGAGCCAGGGCAGTTAAAGGCCCTCAGTGTCCAAGGATATTCTCGATCCTGGGTAGTATGACCTGAATGCTATCAATAGTCCCAACTAGAATCAGCTTATTGAATTAGTGGAATTTATGAAAAGTGCTGACCTTCATTTAACAAATGGGTTTGCTCTAGTTAGGGCTACTAATAGGATTTAGATCTATGTTTCCTTATGATTCTGAGCATGAATAGTATCATGGTGTTAAAAAAAAAAGTGGACAATCTCCTTTGATCACCACCCAAGAACTTGAAAAGTTCCCTCCCCTGAATATGGCTCTCATAATTCCTCAAATAAAAACTATGAAGAGCCCTGATGGTGCAGTGATTAAATGCCTGTACTGCAGCCACTCACTCACAAACCACAAGATTGTGAGTTCAATCCCAACCAGGGGCTCAGGCTTGATGCAGGCTTGCATCCTTCCAAGGTTGCTAAAATGAGTACCCAGCTTGTTGGGGTCAATTAGCTTACATTTTGTAAACTGCTTAGGGAGTGCTTAAGTGCGTTGATGAGTGGTATAGAAATGTACTTGCTATTGCTATTGCTATAAAACTCAGAGTGATCCAATGAATATGATGGTACGCAGCTTCAGGACAGAAAGCCAGTGTGGTGCAGTGGTTTGGGTGATGGATTAGGACTCTAGAGGCCAGGGTTCAATTTCCCGCTTGGCCATGAAGCCCACAGGGTGAACCTGGGCAAGTCACATGCTCTCAGCCTCAGGGGAAGGCAATGGCATACCTTCTCTGAACAAATCTTGCCAAGAAATCCCATTATAGAATCTCCATAAGTCTGAAATGGCTTGCAGGCACACAGCAACAATAAGCTTTAGGACAGAGAAAGGAAGCATTTTACATGCACTTAGGGAATTTGCTATTACAAGATATGGTGATAGCCACCAGCATAAGTAGCTTTCTAGCAGATATACACAAAGTCACAGAATTCACAAATTCACTAACCATGGTTTGTCACAGAGCATAACCAATCATAATTTCCTGATAAATCGACCTGTACGCTGGCATTCATCTTTGATATTTTAAACATTTAATGTATGAGCCCACAATGAATTATTTATTTATGCCATGAAACTATATTGACAAGTGCGGCTAGTAAGCTGTTAGTATTGCTGTATAAATTATATTTATCTTGTAAGGCTGACAATACAGAACATAAAAAATATGCTTATTCTATTTAACAGTATGAATAACACTCTGATAACATTTTCCTTTTTCTTTCCAGCCTTCCCGCAAAGTTAATCAATGGAGGTATAGCCGGGCTTGTTGGGGTGACTTGTGTTTTCCCGATTGATTTGGCAAAAACTCGTCTCCAGAATCAGCAAGGACAAACAGTCTACACTGGAATGTATGTATTCCAGAATTTGATTTGATATAATGTGGGTTTCCCAGGATGTTAGGCATAGGCCTTAAAGGAACTTGTCCTATTAATGTCTCTTCTAAGTACATTGAGAATTGCTGAAATCTTCCCAGGTTCTCTTTCTATTTATTTTCTCCTTCATTCTCCATAAGTGTTAACATTTCATGCCTCTGCTGAAAGTAGACTATACCAGGGCTAGGGCTGTCCTCAGTCTAGCTTCATGTGCCACTTGACCTAATTTTAGAAGTCCTCTTGCAAGAAGGTATCCAAAATTAGGACAATTGATTGAGACCTCTGGCAAAGGTGATCTGTCCCTGCCTTAGTAGCCTAGGCTCAGGAAGAAGAGGTAGCAGAAAGTGAATGAGAGAGAAAAAGGCTGGCCCATTTGCTTTTAGGTCCACTCACTGTGCCACTGGTTTTGCTGTCATCTACTGCATCCCACTGGGTAACCCTGGGCTAGTCACACTCTTTCAGCCTGAGAGGATGGCAATGGCAAACCCCTTCTGAAGAAACTTGCCAAGAACACCCCATGATAGGTTTGCCTTAGGGTCGCTGTAAGTCGGAAACACCTTGAAGGCACATAACAACAACAACAAAAACTGCACAGCAGATTACCCCTGATGAAATACGTCCCCCAACAATTCAAACGTTGCCCACTTCTGCTCTAAACCTTTGAGCTTATCATAGGATGTTATCACACGTGGGCCAGGAAGCGAAAATAAAGTGGAAATGAGGCATTCCGAAAATAAACGGAAAATGAACCTTGATTCCGCAAATGGCTTTCACACGTAATTACCTTAATTGCAAATTTACAGTAAGCGCATTTAACGTTCACACACAAGTGAGAAAAGCCTGTAAATGTACTAGAAATGAACTTCTTGCACATGCACAGATAGAGGAATGCTCCTGGAACAATGGGAAAAGCAGGGAAATGCTCCCAAATTCGCATTTGCTTTTCACATTACGGTAAATGCGAAATTACCTTAATTTTGCATTTGCATTTCCTCCAAACAACCGAATTTCAAAAGATCTCAGATAACACCAGTTTCTGTCCACTTTCTGTCCATTTTCTGTGCGACGTCATGTGAAAACGCGGGGCACAAATCCAGTTTCTGTTTGGGATTTGTGTGGATTAACCAGCAGATTTGCCCCCGTGTGATAACGTCCTTAGTGTATCCACATAACAGAGTTGCAGAAGTATGATGCCACTTTAAATGTCATCGTTCCATCCCAGAAAATTCTACAACTCTATTTTCTCTTTATTGAACTACAACACTAGTGATATCTCTCAGAAAATTCTAAAGAACCTCACCAAGCTACAAATCCCAAAATCCCAGTTCATATGGGACTAAACTGCCATAATGGCATAGTGTAGATTCTTTGGTCCTGAAGGCCCCACAAGTCTCTCTCTTGTTTTTGTTGTACTAGACTGATATAGCTTCCTTTCTGAAATATAATAACAGAACTCTTTTGATCAGAGGTGGACAAAGTGCAGCCTGGAGACAGCGCATGGCTCCAACTTGCCAAAGAAACCCACAGTGTTTGCCATTCCTAGGGTCTTGCAGGAGTGAGCATGCTTTTGCATGGGGCCACCTCTGTCCCAAGGATCAACCTCCCTCCATTGCAAAGATCAAAACCAAAAGTCTTGTAAACTGCAGATTTCATGTTTGTTTGTTTGTTTTGGGCCCATCTCTGCTTTTGATAACTCAAAATGCTTCATAGTCCTTCTCTGCCAAAAAAATTCATTTGATAAGGCAGCAACTGAGGAATTAATTCATTAGCACCAACACTAATAACTGAAAATGTTCAATTAGTTACTTTAGCATTACTTAGGTAAAAGTCTCATCTCACCATTCCTGGGACAGGCCATTGTATTTATAGAAAATGGCATAGAGGTTGCCATCATTGACCGTGGAAGAACATTGGCATCTTCAGAAGTACTGTACTCTTCTTTTTGTTTCAAATTTGTTTTTCCTGCCCTGTTTTCCCCAGAGCATGGGTCGGGAAAAGAAAACTTTGGACATAATTATCTGTGTGCCTAGCCCTGTGTGAGAAATAATAAATACACTGAATGACTGCAAAGAAATGGGATTGACTTCTGAGTATCATGGGGAGGGCAAGGGTGTAGCTAAAAGAGAGTTTTGGCTCTGGACTAACAGCTCCAACCTTATCTATCTTTTCAAAGTATGTGACTCACTCAAAAGCAGAATAAAAGGAGGAGGAATTGAAGGGGAACACCAGCATTTCAAATCTAAAAATCCTGAAATTTTGAAGGCTAAGCAAAGACCTTGTTCAGTTTTGCACCAGGGCTCCTTTGTTTTCTTTTTTTGCTCCTTAAATTACTTTCCAATCCCAGCTCCTCGTTTTACTGGGCTTCCAGAATTTTCGGTGGCTCTCTATTCATGTTACCGTAGTTATAATAAAGTTAGCAGTGCTGTTTGGTTGGCAATTGAAGCATGCAATGCATTCCCTACAATACTAATCCTCCTTTTCTGTAAACCTTCCTATTTGGCTGTGTCTGCCAGAGAAATGGCTGTCTAGTGTGGTGTAGTGGACTGACTCTGGAGGTCAGGGTTCGATTCCTATCTTGGGCATAAAACCCACTGGGTGACCTTGGGCAAGTCACATGCTCTCAGCCTCAGGAAGGCAATGGCAAACCTCCTCTGAACAAATCTTGCCAAGAAAGCCCCATGATATGTTCGCCTTTCAGTCTCTAAGGACCTGAAGGCATACAGCAGCAATAACAAATGCATTTCCTTCAGTACTAACCCTTCTTTTCTGTAAACCTTCCCATTTGACTGAATCTGCTGGAAAAAGGGCTCGCCACTCTGATGAATTCTACAATTAATTCTAACATTCTATAGTTACCTAACTTGTTAACATACAGGATTAACTTCCGTATTAATCACTTCACTAGGCAAAAAGAAACAAACATCTATTTTTAAAATCCACACAGAGTAGCCACCAAACCATTATAAAATTATATAGAAGAGAATACCCTTTTTGCTGTAATCTTAAGCCATCAGAGAAGCTGCATCTGCACTGGAGAAATAACCCAGGTTGACACCACTTTAATTGCCATGGCTCAATGCAATGGAATTCTGGGAATTGGATTTATGCAACATTTAGCCTTCTCTGTCAGACACCTCTGATGCCACAACAAACTGTTCCCAGGATTCCATAGCACTGAGCCATGGCAGTTAAAGCTGTGTCGAACTGGATTATTTCTGCAGTGCAGATGCAGCCAGAGTGAGCAGAGCATGGTGGGATGAAAGTCTTGGTGCCATGGCTGAGACTCAGCTGCCAGTAAGTATCTCACAAATCTTGGAGAGTGGAGGAACATGGAGCAGTGTCTCTGTGGGAGATGGCTGCAAGGTCACTCACAATCTTTGAAACGCCTAGTGTTCACTTTTGTTTTTCTCTCTTTCACTAGGCGAGACTGTTTGGTGAAGACTGTTTCCTCAGAGGGGTTCTTCGGCATCTATCGAGGTAAACTACAAAAACAGAGAGCTTTCCCCTTCAGTAACATAGATCTTAATAATTTTAATTAATAAAAGTATATTTTGATTAAGTTATGTCAACTGAAAATAAAAGGAAAGTTTTTGGAGGAAAATGTTTGTGGTGATTTAAAATCAAATAGTGACCTGTTGCAAATACCTTTTTAAACATAAAATATAGGATTTTTTAAAATAATAATGCGTAATACAAGTGAATGGATTTTACATTGCTTTCAAATGGTTGAATCCTTTAAGGGAGAGCCTATAGGGCAGGGATATCTTCAGATATTGCTAAACATCAGTTCCCATCAGCCTCAGCTACTCTGGTCTAAATGGAAGTTTAAGTCCAACAACATTGGGAGAGCCTTTAATTGTGTTTGACTTTGAGTTGCTCACTTTTGGGACCTTATCACACGGGGTCTAAAGCAGACCTAATCCAAAGGGTA